ATAAGATTATGAAGACCAGATCATCTCATTAATTTAGAAAATATAATGAGAATCATTACTGCCATCCATAAAGATACAAAACATCAATGTCCATCAGTCCAAACACACAACTGCCAGCAATTGGAAGTTGTTCTGACTCAAATCTATAAATTCAAACTCTATACTTGTGCTGTCTTGTTTCACCGAACCCTTCAGAGACTGATAAAGTCAAAAAGTGAACGTCATGCTTTCTCTTTTCTCTTTTCACACACGTCTGATCTGACCAGATGACTTCTCGCCGGCTGGAGGAGAGAGGAATCAGAAGACATTACTGAAGACAGAAACACAGCTGGGTCCAGATCATCACCTCTGCCCGTCCTCCAGCTGGACCAGACCGCAGGAGGAAACAAGACACAAAAGGTCAAAGAATTTTGCTTTCTTTCTTGCCCCTCTTTCTGTCATCTGTCATTCGCTGCTCAGTTTAATCGCTCCTCGTGAGCGTCCAGATGCTCCTGTAGTTCCAGTGAAGGTTTAAACTGGATTCCTCTGATTATTTGAATGTAGATTTGGCATTTTATTTCTCCGTCTGCCTGCCGTGCATGGCCTTTCAGTTCATTAACTGTTCATTTACACACTCCTCTTTCATTCCGTCCGCTTCTCTCCGGTCTGTGAATGATTGTTTCTCATCTCTGATTCAGTTTTTAATTAAAATACTCCTCTGCTGAGGCTGTGGAGAGATATGGGCCTGCAGAACCCTCAGGAAATATGTGCTGGGACTTGCTCTGCTTATCAGTCAATCTGCATTATATTGCTTTTTATTAGTTGTTCATCCAAATAAAATGCTAATTAGTGTGGTTTATAATTGTGTTTGCGGGCAAGTCTCACATAGACAAACTTGTGACAATAACCATAATAGTTCAGCTTATTCTGACCAAAAAAAGAAAACAAAAAAATGACCAAATGCAGTTAGTTTTATTTTTAGGTGACTTCCTATAGTGTGGAACTGTTTTATATAGCAGGTTTTCCTAAATTAGGGGTTTGTGAGTTGATGAAAAACTAATAATGAATTAAATTATAAAAAATGTCAAATTTGAAATTAATAAATCATTTTAAAGCAAAACTCTTTTGGGTTTTCCTGCAGGTCATGTGACCATTGTTCAACATACAGTCAAACCAAAAATTATTCAGAGACCAGATACAATTTTTGATATTTTTTTTTACTAGTGGGTGCAGGACACTGTAGTGTACTGTGACATATTATACCCAAACATGACCTAGTTTCTGTCTCCCATTCGTTATGTCATTTGGTTCAGGTGTGTCTAGTTAATTATCTTCATTTGCCAGTGTATTTAAGTTGTGTTCAGTTCACTGTTTTCAGTCCGGTCTACTACGTCCCTACGTGTGATCCTGCCTCTCCGTCCTGTGTTTGCCCTATTGTGGATTGTTCAAGACTACATTGTTCATCGTCTTCTTCGTGCGTTTCATTCACCGTAGCAGTGATAGCTGGCTAATATTTTTATGGAAATCATGATACCTTTAGAATTCATTCAAGTTTATTATAAAGTTTGGGAATCCCTCTTTTATAGGATTATCATGATCATGGGCCAAAAACAAATTATTTATAATTGATATTTTTGGTCCTTTTGGTGAAAAATATAAATCTGTAGAACTCTCACAAACCGCGCAAACTTCAAATCCTAAATACGCTTTTTTCTCAGACTTGTTCGTACTATAGCGGTCCTGTAAACTTGTAATTGTGTAAAGCCAGCAAATCAGATTTGACCTGCTGATTTCAGTTAACATCTGTCATTTTTGTGTGCAGTCTGTCTGACCCTGAGACTAACGGAAAAGAAATGGCTTGACTGTTTTTATGAAGTGTAGTAGGCCTTCAGTATTTATGATCGTGAACACAACACTATTACTAATGTGAATTCATCAATTTGTCTGACCAGTTAAATCAGACAGGAATCGCTGATCTCACCGAGAGATAAATGACTGCAATATAGTCAATTAAATCACTTTAATAGTCAAACAGACAAAATCCATAAAGTCTGTCTGTGCGAGAGCTGCGCAGACGCCAGTTCTGAGCCAGCGGCGTATAATAGTGTTCTCCAGGCCACGACGGAAAGATTAAATATCAAACGAGCATCTCGGAGGACCTCAGTCTTTGATAAAATGCCACTAATAAAATAAAGCCTGAAAATGACTGGAGACTCGTTATCAGGTGGAGTTCACGGAGCGTGAGGATTTACAGACAGAATACAGAGAGAGAGGATGAAAGAGAAATCTGAGGAGGTGAAGAGACGTCTACAGCATATGGCCTTTATGAGACGCACAGCTGCTTGATGGAGGGACACTAGAGGAAGTGCTCTGGCGTCCTTCCTGTCTCCTCCTGGTGTCACCTTGTTTGATGCCCCCGTGAGAGCACTGGTCCAGATGTGCCCACAGCTGCTGATGTCTCTTCACCACCACAACATCAACCACGCTCCTTCAGGTGTACGGAGAGATTGTGATTGATAAACGGGTATTTTGCATCAGTATTTTATATTTTTGTGTGTTAGTTCTGTCTTAATCTACTGCATTTGACACCGACAGTCAGTTCAAGAATTAAATAGTTTTTAGATCATTTGGCCTAATTGAGACATTTCCTGGAGGCCTAACAGAATACTTTTATCTTTCCTGTGCATAAACACCCTTCCACACATTTATCATGGTAAGCGTTTTGAAATACTATAAAGCATAGATAGATAGATAGATGACATTTCGACAGATTTATAATCTTTAAAATTTAAATGTTTTATGTAACTTTAGTGCTTAATGTAACTTTTTGCTTTGTTTTAAAAATAAATAATTATTTTAAGAATTCTTTTTCTTTTAAGAAAATGAATTCATTCATTTAGAAGTGGTGAAAACCATGGGCGCCATGGTAAATGTTTGTAACTTTATAACCATTTTTAAAAGTGTTTAAACATCAAATTATTTGTGTAATTATTTGTTTTCTTTCATTTAGAAAATAAATAATGTATAATAAATGAATGAATAAATAAAGGATTCTTGCACTGTGTGGAGGAGATCCTTTGTTTATTTATTTATTTATGCAAAGGATGGTTACCATGGTAAATGTTTGTAATTTTTATGACCTATTAACATTTAATTGGTGTTTAATGTAGCTTTTCCTTTTGTTTAGAAAATAAATTAACAGATAAAAGATTCTTGCACTTTGAAGGAAATCCCTTATTTATTTATTTATTTATAGTAGTAAAAACTATGGGTAGTATGGTAAATGTTTGTAATTTTATGACAGTTTAAGGATGTTTCACATTGAATTGTTGTGTATTGTGTATTGTAACTTTTGTTTGTGCTGTAAAGTTTCTCCAGGGAATGTTTCATATGGTGTTGTAAACTTCCTCATAAAAAGAGCAATCTGAGATATAAACCATAACAAGTTAAACCATATCCTCACATTAGCAAGTCAGTGAGACCATCATCATCATCATCATCTCTCTCTCTCTGGTCTCATAATGGACTGGACTCATTTACTACGGTACTGAGAACCTGAGAGTATTTTTATCTAATAAAAAATGGAAAAATCTATAACATGGATCTGTTACACTTGATAAGGTATTCATTTCACGAAATTGAGAAAGGTTGATCTCAGTACTTTCACAGAACGTTTGAAGATCTTTCCTGATAAACTCTTCAGTGTTTTAACAGTGCTTTTCTTTGCAGACGTTTAGTTCACAGATGTCTGGACTGCTAGTGAGTGTTTGTTCATGTGACCCTACATAATATTTGGCTTTTCCTTTTGTAATATACAGCGTTTCATATATTTGAGAACACTAATAGAGTCATTTATTTAGAGTATAATCTAAGCCGGTATAGTGAGAAGCAACATGACACCACGTTCACAATTTTACTATATCTTCATAATCTGGTGGATTTCTGAGTGACACATAATATTCAATGAGAATTATTGGGTGGGACTTGATTTTATCCGTCAGGATTTGATTGGATGTTCAAAAGTGTCTCTGTATGACAAGTGGGTACAGGTCTGAAAATTAAGAGGGTTTGGAGTTAGAATATAGATTAGAAGCATTATATTTTTCTGTGGTAGAACATGCACTGATGAACTGGTCTAATTTTCACAATAAGACCAGAAACATGTAGGGAAGTTAATAGTGATGATCTTGAACATAAACGTGTGCTAAGAGAATCAAAGAGCATCTCAGGATCTAGT